GCCTCTTCCCATCCGCCACCTTGGGTGAGGACTGGGCCTGGAGGAGGGCTTGGGGGGAGCCAGAGCCAGGCTTGGGTTGTGGAGGGTGGGGGCAGCGCTGCAGGGTTGGAGAGGATCGCCCACAGGGTTTTTTGGAGGGAAAGGGCTGCTTGGCTCAAGGAAGGCATATGGGGTCTTTTTCTTCTAGGAAACGCTGGCACCAGCCTGGCTCTGGGGTAGGGATTGGGGTGCGGAGCCTTTCCCAGTAAGGGGCACCAGCTCTGCCCAGGTTGAGGGGTGGGGGCAATAAGGAGGCATGGGGGCTTTGCAGGGGAGAGAGGGCTGTGGCAGCCGGGCTGGGCTAGGGGAGATGAGCATGTCCTTGCTGCAAAACAGAAGCCCCTGCACTCCCTTCCTGCAAGGCTGACTCATTGCAAATCCCTCTGACCGCGCTGACGTGTTTCCGCGAAGCGCTCTCGCTTCTGGTGAATCAGCGTTTTCAGTGGAAACAGGCTCAGCGCTGCTGGCCCGGCCCTGCCCTCCCGCCATCCTCCGCCTCCATCCTCATCCGTCTGCTTTCCGCTCTTGCTCGTGTCCTGCCCGGCGTGGTTTGTGCTGCCTGCTGCTGCTGCTGCCGCCCCGGCGCCTGCCCGGGCGCCCCTGGGGCTGGCTGGCTCTGCTTGCGCCCGGCGCCCAGACGCTTGTTTGTCCTGTGTGTCCTTGTCGTGGGCTCCAGCTCTGCCATAGCCTAGATGTGCCCGCGAGCTTCCCGCCCCACGCCAGGCGAGAGGCCCCGCGCCCCAGCCCCGCTTGGCCGGGGCTGCGCCCAACCCACCTCTCTTTGCTCCCAGGCGGCAGGGTGAAGACGTGGAAGCGACGCTGGTTCATCCTGACCGATAACTGCCTTTACTACTTCGAGTACACGACGGTCAGTCGCCCTGGGGCGGAGGCGGGCCGAGCTGGGGCAGGGAGGGACGCCGGATCCTGCCCAGCGCTGATCCGCCCGCATGGCGCAGGCTGGGCTCGGCTTGGGTGAGGCAGCCCACGGCCCGGGGACGGGCAGGGAGGGACGCCGGATCCTGCCCAGCGCTGATCCGCCCGCATGGCGCAGGCTGGGCTCGGCTTGGATGAGGCATCCCAGGCACTGAGCACCGGCCTGGGCGGTGGGTCCGTGCACCTGCAGGCCCGGCTGCCTGCCTCCCGGTGCGCTGGGGTGCCGGTGAGCACAGGGGTGCAGGGTACAGACCTCAAGCCGGGCAACGCTAGAGGGCTGTGCATGGGGATGTTCGGGGAGAGGGATTTTTGCAGCTAAAGTCGCCCTTCTCTGCTTGACCCTACCAGGATAAAGAGCCCCGGGGCATCATCCCCCTGGAGAACTTGAGCATCCGTGAGGTGGAGGACTCCAAGAAGCCTGTGAGTGCCCTGGCACGTCCCCAGGGTTGGGGGAGCATCTCCTGGTGCTTTGGTGGTGGCAGGAGCTGGGGGTGGCAGGGAAGGGGAAGCTGGGGGGTGCTGCAGCTCCCAAGGCCAGCACCCTGGGAGGCAGGACTCTGGCCAGGGGCTGCCCGCCTCGGCATCCTGGCTTGGTAGCAGGGGGTTGCTTGGGGCTGGGGGGGACCACGGTCACAACGTGTCCACCCCCGTCAGGCGTTGGAGGTGCCTGTGCCCGGGGAGCGCTGCAGCCCCCGTGCTCGTGCCTGGTCCCTCCTGGGGCCTGGGGCTCCCTTTTGGAAGGGCAGCGGCTGTCTCTGAAATATCTCCTCCCTCCCCAGAACTGCTTCGAGCTCTACATCCCCGACAACAAGGACCAGGTGATCAAGGCCTGCAAGACGGAGGCGGACGGGCGGGTGGTGGAAGGGAACCACACAGTGTACCGGATCTCCGCGCCCACCCCCGAGGAGAAGGAGGAGTGGATCAAGTGCATCAAGTGAGTGCTGCCCGGGGAGCTCGCGGCCTGGCAGCGCCAAGGCCCCGCTGCCGCTCTCCCTGCGCTCAGGAGGGCAGCGCTCCCCTGGGCTTGGGGCGCCCTGCAAGAGAGGAGGGGGGAACTGGCTCTCCATTCCCAGGGGCACGGAGGGACCTGCCCAAGGCAGCCGGGCATGGCAGGCCTGCACCTGGAGCTGCGTTCAGCTGGCTCTGTGGCTAACTCAAGCCCTCGTTCTCTCTGCCAGGGCAGCGATCAGCAGGGACCCTTTCTACGAGATGCTGGCTGCCAGGAAGAAGAAGGTGTCCTCCACAAAGAGACACTAGCAGCCTTTGGTGGCCCTGCAAGACCTGCGTGTCCCAGGCGGCGCAAGCGCCTGGAGACGGAGCGAGCCCGCTGCGGGACTGGGGCCTCTCTGCAGCCTGGCCCTCTGCACCCAGGACCTAGCTTCAGCTTCGCAGTTTCTTTACTATGGGGGGAGAGCGGGGGCACGGGCGCCTCGGTGGGTCTGGCCCCCCGTGCCGTGACTGCCTCGTCTCCAGGACATCGTCTTCGTGGGCAGAGCAGCCTCCCTGTAGGCATGAGCAGGGCTCGAGCTGGGACGTCCCTGCGTGCAGGGAGCCCCGGTCCTCACCCCCGGTCTGCGCGGGGCTCGTCTGCAGGTTGGGAAAGGTCATTTGTGAGTACTGTCCTCCCGGTCTCGCTCGGCCCGGCTGGGGTTGAGGGGCACGTTAGGCATCCTTCCCGGTCCGGATGCACGTGGCAGTGCCGCACGGGAGGCAGGCGC